ACTAATACTAAACTGTTCAAATGCAAAATATCTGATAGTTCCTTATGCACTTTTTGTTCGTCATGTCATGAGACATTGCAACATTTATTTTTTCTCTGTCCTTGTATTCAAAACATTATATCTACTTTATATAATAATTATATTACACGCTAATGGTATTGATACAAGAATACATTCAGAAGAATTGGGATACCCAAGTATAGAAATGTTTAAAGACAAGTATGAATGGTTATTTGTAAATCATCTTATCTATTTGACTAAATACTATATTTATAAATGCAAACTCAATTCAAACATTCCATCAAACACAGAATATCTTAATTATATTAAAAACATCATGAACATTGAAAAAAACAGTAAATTATATCAACAAAAATGGAATACCTACAAAATTAGTATAAATTTATGTCAAGTCTATAGTTCTCAACCTATAATAATGAGATATATTTGTGTATCGTTTCATTAGATATCTGAAAAAAAAAACAAAAAACTTGTCTTCTACCTATCTACGAGGTAAACATACTTTGTCTAGGTGGCTCACAACAGTTCCATTTCATTCCATGTATTTATGCCTATGTGCGTTCAATCTGAAAAGACTATAACTATGTGCGTTCAATATATAAAGACCCATCTATTCCCATCATAATATACACACATATATACCTTATATTTCACCATACAAAGTCCCATCATAATACACACCTATTATATCCCTTATATTTCATTACCTTCAAATTACATATCCCCTCCTTTTTTTAAAATGATTTATTTATATAAAAACCTTGTTTAAAAACAGAATGAGTTTAATTTTAAAACACGAACAACACAAATTCGAAGGAGACGGATTCTTCTCAGCTCTATCTTCTCTCATCCCAAAGTAGCCAACTTTGTCTCATACAACAAATCCCTTATTTCTTCTGGAACGCAAGCTCTTGGATCTGTAGCAAAAGCAGGGGTAAATATAAGCGAAACAGTGAAAAGATCTAACGAGTTGAAAGAATTACAACATATAAGAGAAATGCGAAATAAATGATTAGAAAACAAAAAAAAAGGAAATGGTTTTAAAATTATTGGATAAAAATGTCAATAATAATTGCTCAAACTCCTAAAACTTACTTCGGTTCTGACATTCAAAAATCATTAGGTTCTCTTCCCGGATTTCCATGGGCAAAATACCCCGGAGAAAAACATCTTCCCGGTCATAATTACAATAGAGTTGACGCCGCTGCACTTAAACACAATATACTATACAGAAATAAAGACATAACATTCAGACACGAAGCAGACAAACAAATGATAATCGAACTTGAAAATATTCCAAATCCAACTTTTAAAGAGAGAATTCAAAGGGCATTAATCATTAAACTCTTGAAATCAAAGATGAAAATGGGTATGGGATTAGCAGATGAAATACACAAAGAATTTAGAAACTTAACTGATTAATGGGAGGTAACACTGTTGTTTGTTTACTTCAAAGTAAAATACCAACCAGTTTATACACGGTTAGTTTTATTGATTGTTATCGAAATGTCCATTCTTTTTTTTTTTGTAACGAAACGAAAAAAAAAAAAAAAAAAAAAAAAGTGGGACTTTGCAAATGTAGCAAATTGCAAAAGACCCCGAAAAAATCATCCTTCCACGATAATTAGATCAAGCGCAAGAACAGTCTAAAGTTGAGAAATTTTCATTTTTTAGAAGATTCTAATACCGGAAGTAGACGTCAGACCTCACAAATGAAAGTATCAGCAGATAGCCTAGGTCAATGACCTTTGATCTTGTAAAAGAGAAG